CGATCAGACTCTGGACACCGGAGGCAGCCTGGATCCGAGTCTGCTTAATTTGCAACAACAGTGAAAGTTTTCCCAGCGCATCACCGCTGGTCTATTGTATTGTAGAGGAGCATCAGTCGTGAACGTTCGGCTTCCGACCCGTCTCAGTCAACAACGCAGGCCAATACAATGGTGCATGCTTTAATGATGGAAGCAAGACTATTCGGCAAGATTTGTGCGATGGTGCGTATGCATATGCGTAGCTAAGCCATACGCTCTGTGGCTGCCAGGCATCCAAGGGGAGCAGAGCGGGATCCCTGCATTGCGATAGGTGTGAGGAGATGCGGGATGGGGCGTTCGGTCGGGGTTGGCCGGGGTATCCAGGGCAGAAACAAAGGGCGACAAGGGCGTTCGTAACTTTAAATAGACATGGCTCCCCATCTCGTTGGTACTGTACCGTGTGCTACTGCTATTACCCTCTGGTTATGTTGCATTGAGCCTGGCCCACCCTGCCAGCAGTAGGCGAGAGCGACCTCAATCCGAGAAAGTGGCGACCAATTTTACACGGCAACATGTTTCTCAGGCGGAAAAACGCATTTCGAACCACTCAGGTCGAACTAACCACAAAGTCCCAACTGGTGTGCTACTTGGACCGAGATCCTGATAGTGACTATATGGAACTTGCCACTATGCACACGACGCAGCAAAACGCGGCGTGGGTTGGACAGCACCGCAAGCACAACAGCCGTCAGCTGGCTGTCATACAACCTGTGACCAATGAAGAGTTTACAGACTTCAAGGTTCTGGCGGGCCTCGCTCATCCCAATATTGCACGGCTCCGAGCGCTGTACCACAAGGGCGGTGCTGTTCATGTCGTTTATGAGTATGTCGAGCTTGACATTTTCGATATATGCCCGTTGTCAGAGCCCGAGATCGCCGAGGCTATGTCGCAGGTGAGTGCATTGTCCTCATGCACGGACGGAATGCTTGACCATGGTTAGATTATCTCGGCCGTTCGCAAACTTTTTGCGATGTCCATCAGCTTCGCCATTGCTTGTATCCGCGTGACCTCTGCAGGGACAATCAAGATTGGTGAGGGTTCTGGACCCAGCAACATGGGACAAAACGGATCAACGGCCTAACTTGATTCTCAAGTGCTCGATTGGACATACGAGTCTGTCCGTGAACCTAGCATCCAGGAAGCGCTCCGCAGTCATATCGCGATTTGGCTTCATGAGACTATGCAAAGTTTGGGTTGCGGTCGCCAGCATTGGACATCAGACGCCCTCGCAGTTTTCGAACGGCTCAACGCTGGGCACTTACCAATGATTACCGTAGGTTCCAAAACTTGCCACGACAGGTACATAACTGAACCGGACACAGGATCCATTTTTCGCCAATGTTCGACCTTTGCGAGAAGCAACCCAGTATGCCATCCGAAGACGCCTGGCAATATCATGAGCATGCTGGTGCCATCGCCACGCGGTCTGAAGGACCAGTCCACTCGAAGTTGCCGCAATGAAGGCGTCCGTCATCCTGTGTCTTATTGCAACCGCTTTGTGTGCCCAAGAGGGTACATATACCTGTCATTACACAGTTACTCTTGCCAAATCCCGCACAGCGACCACTTCCGATGCGTGTGACGAGCCCAGCGTCGTAACATGTGTCACCACCCGCACTACCACGAGAACAGTCGAAAATGCTGCTACGCATACTGGGTCAACGGCGAGCGCATAAAGCCTGACCAACTTGCCCTACTTGGAGACACCTTTTGTGGTGGCCTTCTCGTACCCGGCGTGAAGTGGCACTGGTAGCGAGCACAGAGCGCTCGAAAAACATGGATGGGTCACTGGCACAACTAATTATTCCGTTCTCTTTGTTTTCTGTCGATTAGCCTGGGTGGATATTTAGTTGGTCTTTCCCACAATATCAAGTATTTCCTCTTGCGAATCGTGATCCCTACCGAGAGGCCCATTTCACAACATCAGATGAGAGATGCCGAGTAGTGACACTTGAGAGAGATATCAAAATAGTATACAGCTAGGTTCGGGAGTCGATCGCCGTATTGCTGCGTTGTTCAGTGTGGTTTATATTCTCCACCGGTCGTTGATGAGACCTCGCCTTGGACTTACAAGTTCTTGCCGGACACGTTGTATCCCAAGCAGACTTTTACTATTCTACCTAAATCTGGCATTTACAACTTATGCCATATTACTAAAAACTCATTAGTATATGTAGCAGCGAGAAAAGAAGACACAGTCTAGCTAATGCTTGGCTTTGAATGGCATCTGCGGCCACAATCATTGTTGTAGGCGACGGGCTATGCCACCTATGTGAATCATTTTGACTGGGGATTGTAGAAGAGACACTTGGTCTCCAAACATCTGTGGCCATCCATGGCAGAGAGGTCCCGTATGAGGCCCTTGACTGCGCCATGGACGAGTTTAATGTTATAAAAGTGGTGCTCTTCGTGGCGCTAGTATGATTTACAATCTGTGAATACAGCTGAGAATGAGAGACAGCCGTAGTATTTGCCCAAGGCTGCGACGGTCTCGTCAACGTGCACATACTTGTGGCTTTCCATTGCGAGTCGGATCCAAGAGGAAGTGAAGTGCTCTCTATAACGCTTTAAATACAGGCTGCAGCAGTCAATACTTGCTCACGGCCAATTCCGTCTCCTCGTCGGAACTTCGGAGTGCTGAATACTGTACAGAGTTTGGTACTGGTACGTGGACACTTTTGAGCTGATAGCGTCTCAAACGCGGCGCTACAGAAACATGCTGATGCGTCCATGTTGTTGTCCAACAATATCGCTTAAGGATTTGGCCTTTGTGCTATTACATTGTCACTCTCTTCTCACGCAGAGGCTCTCCTTGCCTCACTCATTTACCTGTATCAAATGCCTGCTTTGACCCACGGACCGCTTAGCAAAAGAATCTTGTTACAAACGCCCTGGTCGCCCAACGTGGCCGTTCAGGAGATTTTGTGTTCAGTACAGACGGAGCATGGACAATTCCTCGGTGTTAAGATCGACTTACCCATGGGTGATTCTTGGCCGGGTAACGCCGATGCATTGCACTGGTTGTACCGTGACAAAAATGGCCTTCGGCTATGGCAGGAAATCCAGCAGCGACCACGTGCTGCGGATGTCAGCCCCCCAGAAATAGAACGCGTTCTCGCGCATTACGAAACGCAAGACAATAGAGTTTATTACGCTATCAAGTGGTGTCACTACGCCTGCCCGACGTGGGAGTTGGAGGAGGACCTAGCCAGCAACAGCAACCTCATAACGCAATACTGCCTTGATCTGGTCCGCAATGTCGTCCAATAGCTCATACAGTCGGGATTGGTCCACATAATACAGCCAATGACTTCAAAAGGTAGCGATCTACTGTCTAAGTCTCTCAAATAAAAGCCTCGAGATGTCAACTACTGCAGCCCTGCCTGCGGCTATGCTGCTGACCTGAGGAACCGCATCCACAGGCTCCTCTTCTATCTGGTAGTCCAATTGCTTGAGTGTTATTCGCTTTGCAGACTTGGAGACGGCATGCTTCAGCTTGTCCCGGACCCATGGTGTTGCAGAAACCAAGACAAGAAAGTTTTCTCCGTCCTTTTCTCCGTCCTCCTCAAAGTCAAAGTGGCATTGTGTCGGATCCTCAAAGATACTTTCGTCATTCAGAACTTGTAACATGTCAATCTGTTTGGTGCTTGTAGTCACTCTACCCGTGTATGTGGTTCCCTCCTCCGATTCCGCCTCCGCCAGGTTTCTTCGCTCGTTGCCATTGTCCCTGTTGCGGATGTGCGCGTCTTTGTAAATCAAGATTCTTATGCGCTGTTTCAGGGGTTAATGATAGTGTTTTGCAGTCGGCACGTTGTCGACTAACCCTTTCTGTGCTGTCTTTTACCAGTGCTTTGTTGATTTGAGCGAGGAGCAGGTCCGATTCTAGAAGCATTAGCTCGAATGCAACAAGCTAAGCGTGAAACTAACCAAGGCCGTGTTGAACCCAAACAAGGCGTATTCTACGAGTGCAACTAAGCGGGTTACGCCTCGTCAAGCCATTGAGGTACGTAAGAATAGGCACAATTCCAAAGCCAGAGGCGACCAGAAACACTGTGCTGTAGCCGTGACAATCTACAGTCTGGCCATGTGGACCCGTATACATAGCCCAATGCGTACACTCACTGTCACTGTTCTTCGAGCAAACCCAGACACTGCTACCCGGCTTTGCCTCCACGCCGTCTGTGTCGAGTTTCCGCCATAGCCGGCGAGTAAAGCCCTTTCGAGGCTCTATGAGGAACTCCAGCGTGTCCGCTCGAATGGCTGTAGAGGAATTTAACACCGCAAAAGGGTGACTCGACAATAGCTGCACTCTTGGTATCCAGAGATGCACATACTGGCCTGGACTGACACGCAACGGTCTAGACAGGCGAACACTGGCATGGACTGAGTGCCCATCTCGCCGAAACGTTGCGGTTGTCCAGTGGCATCCGTGAGCTTTATTCCTGTAGACGACCATGCTACTGTGGACCAAATTGAGGAAGCCAGAAAGAGCACCATAGGCGTAGAGATATCTCGGGTCAAGACCTGGAAGAGGGAGCAGGTACCTCAAAGTACTGTACCCGACCACCATAGCGAGAAGTTGATGGACTCGAATGTAGAGCTCGTACACACTCGAATCAAGGACCCATTCGACAAAAAGCCTCGCTGCTGGCAGAGCGATAATTGCTAGGTGAGATGTTACCGCCTGCGTGAGTTAGCAATATACAACAAGAGGAACCGTAGCAGGCGAGCTACCAGTAACGTATCAAGGTCTAAGCGTAGCTCCTTCTTTGCCAAAGTCTGTTCCCACACCTGTGTCGCAACATGGAAAAGAAAAAGCACGGAGCACAAGACGCCACAAGCGCGGTGCAGCGCACGAAAATCCGACAAACCCAGACCAAGCAAGTCTGCCAGATACGAAATATTTGGCGACAAGTACAGCGGTATGGCGTTTACCAACGCCAGGTAGGCCGCTCTGATGGAGGCTTCTCGAGCTGATGCCAGCGAAACACGATGCGGAGCATCCTTTTCTACGGATATTGTCAGGCAAATGCAGCACACGTTGGCAGCAATGTAGAGCAAAAAACACAGTGTTGCAGCTATTCCCCACGGGCCAAGCAAGGAGTGGCGTTGAAGGAGAACCCCATACACAAGCCTGTTCCAAACAAGTGATGATGCCGCACGCATGCGCCTACCAGAAGGACGGTGGGCGATGCAAAACAAGGCCACAAGCACCGACGGAAAGGCTATGGCAAATAAGTTGACAATTTCCATAGCCAGCAATGACCGCAAGCATGCTTATCTGGGTAGTGCAGTAGCTAGGCGTTGAGGATTAGTTCATATCGTCGCTGAGTGCTCACATGAGCTTTTTCGACAAGGTCCAGAATCGACTCTTGCCAGAGCTCGTCTTGTTTGGGCTCCGTGAATAGCGCATGCTAAGAACGTCAACCTGGGAAGACTCGAGCTGGCATTGCCTCGTACCTTCCGTAGCGTTTCTGGTGTGAGCTTTGAGTTTTTGGCTTGCACCTCAGAGGCAGTGAGCTCCACGAAACCGATGACTTTCGCGCAGTTGACCCATCGGTGGCCCTCTAACCCCGGACCCTTATTCTTTTGCAGGAGCAAAAAAAGTAGATCTTTGAACGAACATATGTCTTGTCTCAAACGGTCTGAGTCCAAAGCCGTATAACTTCTGCACAGAGCTTCTCGTTGCGTAAGCATCAGAAGGTTGAGGTTAGGATTGTCTTACCTAGCTTAACGACCCCTCGTCGATTCACCCAGACAGTGCGTGGGAGCAAATTGCCGTGAACAAGCTGGTGGCTGTTCAAAAACATCAATCCTTCCAGGAGCTAATTAAATTAGTTCAGTCCAATAGTGCAGAGAGAGGCATGTTCCAGAAGTTGCCGTACTTGACCGAGAAGAGATGCTAGCTGAAGCTCGCTCGGGAATTCAAAGCAATTGATGATATGTTCCCACGTAAGGTCCGTATGTTCGAACACTGTATAGGTCTTGTTTGAGTCTGTAAAACTCTTAATTATGGTACAGACATTTTTGTGTTCGAGCTGTTTGCGGATGGTACTTTCAACCTCTTGGTTCGTGACAGCCTGGATAATAACCAGTGTCCGTGGAACGCGTTTCCGTATTGCCACAGATGCTTTCCCTTCCAAATCATTCAGTTTGTATAACTCGGCATATTCATCCCAGGGTTTTCCTGTTTCGGTCGGTTCAGTGGTTGTCGAGCGAGCAGAATCGATGCCGGGGGGTAATCCGCGTGATGGTTTGTTCTTGGGCCCTGTGGCCTTTTTAGACGTCACATTTGGCTCGAGTGGGACGTGCGAAGTAGCATTAATCCCGTTGATGGATGTTGACGCTGTGCTTGGTGAATGTTGTGTTGTCCTGGGGTTGAATAGCTGGGTTATTCGATTTGTCGCTGACATGTTTACGCCGCAAGGTAAACTCCGGAAAAACGGGAAACCTTACACTATCTTGCAGACTGCAGTCTCTCAAAGCTGCAGGGGACTCGACCGTTTACGCGGTCGAAACCGGCTTTCTTTTAGGGAGCATTTGATCATGTCTGCGTTTCACTCCGCATATTGCCGTTCTCGAAGCACAAGCTCGATCGAGCGGCAATTGGACTGGCAGCCGCCTCTTTCGGCCGCCCCGGCCTATCCGTCATAGTCCAAGTTTGAGTGGCTGATGACCACGTATGCATGTCCAACATACAGTGCAGTACAGGTAACATCTGTCTGTTTCAAGGATAGGAACTTCAATTCCCACCATGCCATCCAAACGACCAGACCCCACGACCTATCGCCAAGTGACTGCAAAAAGAGACACGGAGACTTACCGCAGAATTCGAGAGCGATACAAAGCTGTTGGCCATGACACAGAGTCATGGCTCATCAACTTTTCCTCAGAGCCTCTGTTTCAAGATCTGTCGTCCAACCATGCCCGGAAGTGTGTGATAAAGTTGCTGAAGAATGAGGAATATGCGAGCCAGCTTGACGGGCTTCTTGCGAACGAAGGGCTCCGTTCCGGTTTCCTTCTAAAAGTGATGCATAAAGTCCTGTATCAGCGATGCAAAGAGGTGTGTAACCAATTCAACCATCAGAATTGTGATTCTAAGACTCCCGTAGGAAGTCTTGAACTACTGGAGGTACATGGAGAAGTTTTGGCTGCAATTTATAGCACAGGGAATTCCAGAGATCGTCCAGCAAATAACGGAAGAGGTGGTGCTGCAGCTCGAGATGCGATGCCCACGATATGATTCTGGTGATAGGGATCATATCCGTCAGCTATTATATGCAGGAAGGATATTTCCTTTGCAAGACAAGGCTTGGCGGGAGCAGTTGTTTCATCGGCTTTGCAAGCTGCCCTACTTCATTCCCTCATTCTTCACCTTTTTCGCGGATATAAATGTATTGGCCGAGTACAGCCGTTGCATATTACGCCTGGTCGGTCGTCCTAAAAAATCGGTAACTGAGGCTTTGAGAGAAGCGTTCAAGGGCAGCGATTCGTTCGACGCTGCCAGTTTGAGATTGTGGATCTTTGCCAGAGGCCATTTCCAACAAATGCCAGTCCACCCTCAAAAGCCTGACACACAGCTGCTGGCTAAAATTCGTCCAAACGGAAGCAACCAAAACGCATGGTACGAGTTCGCATCATATGCGAAGCAACTCAAGTTTGAATCCGACAGAATAAACAGCTTGGTGCGTGCTGGTCGGCCCGAGACGTGTTCCTCGTGTTCATCGGGCGAGCCTCCTTCTTCCAAGTCCGTACTGCGGCACCGCTGTGGCTTTCCGGACCAGGCGTCATTCAAGCATGACAAGGCCTTTCTAACCCTAGAATGGCTGTGTGCAGCGCCTAGTACCTCGGACTCATTAGAATCATTCTATGCTGTTTGGTCCCCCATGCGTATCTTCCATATCGGTGAGGCTGATGCTTTGTGGGCCGGTGCGGAGGAAGTCATATTGCAGCAGCACAACGATCACACGAACCAAACAGAGCTAGCGCGCACCACGGATCAGATGATGGCGGACGCAGAGCCCTGCACCCAAGCTGCGACGACGCAAATACCTGCGAGTGCAACAGCCACAGGCCTTCGCAAACGCAGAAGAGAGGATGAAAGCTTGGGAAGCTCGAAAAAGCTGCAATCAGGAAACATTTTGTTCAAAAAACTCATCGGATCAGATTGGAGGATCGAACGCGAAGCCAAGGAAGAGGACGTAGCCAAAACGGCCCAGCTATTGCTGGAGGGAGGCTGGTACCTTTTCGGCCCAAAGTTGAACGCAGACGTTGTACATTTATCGTCGGTTGCAGCAGCAATGAATTGTTACGAAACCGCCAAATACTCAGATATCAACACCATTGTCGTCACTAGAGCGCCAGAACTGTCGAACGACTTCGTGCAAGACTGCAAGGCTCTCTACACGGGGGAGGAAGTGCAACTTTGAATGGTATGGTCGTTCCGGGAAACTGACTGCTGTGTTGCATGAGCCTAATCTGTGAATTGAGGCTGTAGCTAAAAACGTCACTGGGATGCTTCGAGCGGCAGAGTACCACGCGTTCGCGGCGGGTGAAACGATAACGACGAGCGGACAGCACCCTGATCCTGTCTCTTGCGCAAAACGTCGCCCTGTCTTGCCGATATGACCTATAAAACACCATAGTACAGTACTGTATGGGCGGACCTGATCAGAGATTCGCGGCAAAAAAGAAGCATTGACTTATGCGGGCTAAGGAAGCTGTCCAATGTGCATGCTTGTCAATGGCGGCAGAGGAACAGAAGGGATCCCGGGTCGCCTCACGTAGTGGCGACGTTGTTGTCTACGGTGATAACTCACTATATACGCAATAATTCATATTTTATTCAATGAAATGCGTTGGCACTACGTACAGCAGTGCGCTCCTATCTCTGATGACTATAATAGCACCCGTACGATGGCAGCTCGCTCGAGTAAGTATCTTCCGGTGCAACTCGCGACAGACAACAAGCAAAACGTCTTAGAGGAATGGTTAAACTACTTTCGAACACTAGGAGCCTCTTGGCTGCCCGCCACTCTTTCGACTACATTCTGTTGTACCGTGAAACCCTTGTGCTTTCTTGGATCACTCGACAAAACACGGCCAACACTGTTGTCTTCAGCACATGCCTGTGCAACAAATGGCCGACATGAAGTGGGGGCATCCTTTGCGGCGTAAAGAACTGACTAAGCAAATATTGATGAGAAGAGAAGGTCCATCGTTGCATCGAGGCAGATAAACAAAAATGCCATTTCCTTAGAAACGATTACAAAAAAGCCTGGAGTCTAGCATCTCAGAGTTCAATTATATGTTGACCAACGAGATGCGTCAAAGGTCTCTCTTCCGCGTAGCAGCCGAACGACAGAAACCCACCGTAACCCTAGTGAACGTAACCA